AACCTGGAAGGGAACGTTTCAAGGAAACCTGGAAGGGAATATTTCAATGAAACCCGGAAGGGAACGTTTAAATGAAACCCGGAAGGGAACGTTTCAAGGAAACCTGGAAGGGAACGTTTCAATGAAACCTGGAAGGGAACGTTTCATCGAAACCTGGAAGGGAACGTTTAAATGAAACCCGGAAGGGAACGTTTCAATGAAACCTGGAAGGGAACGTTTAAATGAAACCTGGAAGGGAACGTTTAAATGAAACCCGGAAGGGAACGTTTAAATGAAACCTGGAAGGGAACGTTTAAATGAAACCCGGAAGGGAACGTTTAAATGAAACCTGGAAGGGAATGTTTCAAGGAAACCTGGAAGAGTGTGGCTCTGTTTTGACACATGTGAGGTGGCAGCCATCAAGAAAACACCAAAAACATGAAGCAGTGTTGGTCGTTCCAGATCAATCATCGTTTAAGCCTCAGGTCTTCTTGAGCGTTACGAAGACAAAAATAACATCATGAGACCAAGTTACGCAACTCGTCGTCATGAGATAACTACATTCCGTAATAATTATATAGAAAGCAAATACCGTAAGCGAAGCCACTGCCACAAATAGGTCATGTGCAATGATGTTTCCAACATCCTGTCTGTATGTTACTGGTCGGGGTATTAACCTAGTTTCCATGTTCCTCTGCTGAACTGACAGACGTGTGCAACCAAAGAACTTCTCTCTCAACAACAAAGTCCATGCTCAATAATCCAGGTATACAATCTAACATTTTTCAGTCAGGTCATCTGGACAGTTTCTTTTTTGTTGTTGTGCTGAAACGTTTCGCCTTGGATCCAGAAGGCTTCATCAGTCAAGGAAACACACAATAAAACTGATTCTGCCCCCAACAGCTTCCTTCAAAGTGGAACAAACCAGTTCTGCTTGTGATAAGATGGTCTCTTTGGTACACCCCCTCTTCCTTGTTGACGTCGTGTCAAACTGGTTGAAAGCAACAAAGTCCATGCTCAATAATTCTCTCTCAATAGTTTTGGGCTTTTATTTGGTTGGAGCTGCTGGAATACTTAAAGGGATCCACGATTAGTTGTGACAATAGACTTTATTTGAGAAATAGTTATTTTAGATGTAAACACAAACAGTAAAAACATTGTAGGCTGTTTAGTTTTTATAATTTAAATAAAATATTGTCACACGGACGTCACCGTGTTTTTTACGCTGCAATGCATTCTGGGTAAATGACATATGCTAGGTCCTGTAGTGCTAGCTCCATACAGTTTTTTTTTTTTAACTATATTGCTCTAACATTTGTTATATTTTCTA